AAATCCATCACTGAGCCTTTGTTTAATGCCAGAGATCTGAAATGCTTTCCGATTCTGGAGAAGTGCCAAGCTGCGCTCTTGGATTAGGAGGCCATGGAAGGACTCCCATATCTATAAGCCTAATATAAGCTGTCATTTCAAATGAATGAATCATTTATGCTGTTGGAAAGAGTCCAGGGATGTTTGGGGTTCGTTTTTTTTAGCCTGTAAAATTCTGAACTATATGACTTTTATAAGAATAGTCTAATCACCACATTGTTATTTGTGCTGCTTTGAGGTGAGTTCTAAGAAATTCAGTCTGTTTCTTTTGCCGACCTCTGGGGTCATAGCTGCAGGCTGGTTTACTTGTAGCGTTTTCTCATTTGTCTTTCGTGTCAGACTTTAGTGGGAAATATGAGGTTTTGTGTACCATTTGGAATGATAATCAGTTTAAATGCTTTAAAGTATTATGGAGTGCATGACAGAACGTTGAGGATAAGCCCATAGTGTTGTGCTTTGATTTGTCAAGTCCCACTTAAAACATAAATGCGAAGGGCACCTGGGTGGCTCAGTCAGTGAAGCGTCTGCCTTCGGCTCAGGTTGTGATCCCAGGATCCTGGGATCGAGCCCCATGGCGGGCTCCCTGCTGAGCAGGGAGTCGGCTTCTCCTGCTCCCCCTGCTTGTGTGCTCTCTCTCTCTGTCAAATAAATAAATAAAATCTTAAAAATAAATAAATAAAATAAAACATAAGTGTAAATACTTTTACTCTGAGGTATAAGATTATCCCAAACTGTGAACATTCTTAAAAAAAAGTCCACAATGCTCTTTGCTGGGCCTCTTCCTGTGACAGTCTACGGTTAGGCTACCAGAGTAGCTGTGTCCAGATGATGAGCTGAGTATCGCCCAGAACAAGAAGGATCTTTGAAAAGATTTGGGATCCTGAGCCTGGGCCTCTGGTTGTGGAGCCCGCCCCTAATCCTCCCAGACTGGCTGGGAGTCGAGGACTCCCTGCTGCTTCCAGTCAGACCCGGGCTGCGAGTGTGTTCACAAGGACCCGGTTCTGGTGATACAAAGGGCACACAGTGCCAGCCATAACACTGAGTAATGCTGGGAGGTGCCTTTTAGAACAAACAATGTGGGTGAGCTTTGCAGACAGGGAATACCTCTGGCTTGACATTTAAATTACTGAATTATTTAAATGAATGTCAATTAGGTGGCGTAGACTGGCTGCCTTCTGCCAGGGCACTTCCTAGTTATTTGCACAGGCAAAGTGTAAAGTACTTCATATCAGATGTGGCGCTTCCTGTCTGTCCTGTTGAAAATCAGTCACTGAAGGTGACTATCCACGTCTTGGTACGTCTCGATGTGTACGGTATGCCTATCACTGTCTGAGAGATTAGAGGTCCAGACTCTTACCTGTGGCCCTACAAGGGATTTTGTGATCACTCTTGGATCCTGTGCGCCACCCCCGCCCCCCTCCAACGCGCTCCAAATAAAATATCACAAGCTCACACATGTTACGGTTATTCCTAAATTTTGACGAGGCTAAAACAGTGAGTCATGGGCATTTTGGGGCCTGCTGCGTGCTTAGAATTGTGGATGTTAAGATATGAAAATGCTCCTACCTTGCTTTTAACCTTCTTTGTTGAATCAGTAATCCTAGCTCAGAAATCTTTTTGGCATCTCTTCCACTAATCCACTCTGTTGGATGAAGCTGCCAAAGTGGCATTTAACTAATGTGTGCGTGCGTGCAGGCATGTGCGTGGGACATGTGGTCATTCTTATAGACTTATGAATTCAGGGTCTTCATTTATACTTGGTGGTATATAAAGAAGAGATTCATGAAGGGCCTCTGCTAATTAGTTACATGGAAATATACAAATTAAGAAGATTAAATGTTGGTGAGAAGCACAACTGGAAATGAAACTGGTGAAGGCTTTGTACTTTTCCCATTAGCTAACTGCTGGACTGAGCTCATGGTTCTTCATAGCAGAAATTAAGTTAATTACCATGTATCATTAACAACCATCTTTCTTCCCCTTTTTTCTTTTTCTGGATTGTGGAGGTGAGGCTATGAAAACTCTAGTTTTTGACACCTTAAGAAGAATGACCTGTTTAAAGGTAGTCAACCCCAGGCCACTCGTGTACAACTAGTGAAGGGATACAAAGATTCAGGGAGAGTGTTTAGTAAATGAATGAATCCCTTGGACTTAGTTTATGATCCCCACAGGATAAGATCTGATTACAGTTTATAACCTGTGATGCCTGTGTGCACTGCAGAATTGGGTATAGTGAGTTGACTTTTACTGAAGATGGTATTTACTTGAGGCTGCTCAGTTCTGGCAAAATTCTTTAGGTTACATTCCAGACATCTGTCAGACCATCCCCACATCCTGTCAAACGATAGGAACCTTGGAAGGGCAGTCCACATCTTATGTCTATGGAGCTAGAGTTCAGTTCGGGCTCTAATTTTATTTATTTATTAATTAATTATTTATTTTTTCAGTAGGCTCTACCCCCAACTTGGGGCTTGAACTCACGATCCTGAGATCAAGAGCTGTATGCTCCACCGACTCAGCCAGCCGGGGACCCTTAGGGCTCTGATTTTAAAAGCAGAGTTCAGTCTGAGAGCACAGGAAAGGAATTATTATTGTTGTTATCTTATTTTTTTTTTTAATTTTACATTTTTTATTATAAACACACGATGTCATTAATTGTTTTGTACCTGGACCATCCATTTCCATAGGCTCGATGGTGAGCAAGGCCTCTGTTGTCTAGCGTTACCTGTCTGTGGTTGCGCCTAATGGACCACAGGTGCAGCGAGTTGAGTAATCCGTACTCCTCAGTCCATTATCAGTCCATGAACAGCTACTCTCTTACATGGCTTTCATTTTACCCCTTCATCCTATCCCCTGACCCCTCAGCCCCAACCCAGCGTCAACAGACGCAACCTCTTCAATGTGGTAGTGTGTATCTTTGGATATCTATGACCTTTGAAAATATTTAGGATTTTATTTTTTATTTATTTATTTATTTATTTATTTATTTTGAAAATATTTAGGATTTTAAAAATATATGTTTGTGTTTCAGATTTTCATAAAGGCATTATTGCATGGTTTTAAAATACAGTATTATAAATTCCCTGCTGTAGGTCACAAACAGATCAATGTGACACCATTAACTCTCCCCCTTACCCTGCCTATCCATTTCCCTCCAAAGAGTCATCACCTGTTGGACAGCATCGTTGGCAACCCTCAGCCCAGCTCTGTGCCATTCAAGAGTGGCAAGCATGTCTAGACTCCCTAGAAATATTATCTTTCAACTCACTTTTGGCAAGTGTAAACTTTCGCTGGATTATGTCAACAGATATATATGTTTCTCATCCTCATAGAAATAGATTGGTGCTGGAATTTCTCTAGGCAGGGAAAAGAAAGACTATCTTCTGGCTCATTAAAATTTTTGCTCATTAAAAATGTCTGAGGCTCTTGATTCTCGGGGGTGAGACTGTCAGCGTTTTGGATTTTCTGCTTTCAGGCATGTCTTTGCTCTTGGATGAGCCCCTTGTGGTTTTCAAAAGAACTAGCAAGTCAATTATAAATAGAAGGCTTGTGTCTGTGTGTCTGCATGCACTTACTCTGTGGGATGAGGCACCCACATTACAGTGGGTAGTGAACTATTTTTCACTTCTTTGAAGAGGGAAGAAGAAAGATTAAGAACACTTCTCTCTTTCTGAGATAACCCACGTCTCTACACACACCCACACAAACCTGTGTAAATGAACTTGACATTTTCAAAGACCTTACCTTAAGGTCTCCTCTTGAAAGCACAGCCACCCGACCTGTTATTTTAAGAAAGAAGCAGTTACCTCACAGACCTGCCACAGAGGGTTCGAGAATGGGAAGGCAGTCAGTCTGTGCCATAGGCCTTCGGAGCAAGCTTCTGAAAGCTGAATTTCTTTATATGAACGCTGCTTCAGCACCTCTAGGGCTTGGCTGTTTACATTCTGTCTTCACTTTTCTTCCCGACTAGTGCAAACTGTTGGGACCAGCAAGTCTGAACTGATCATTCTAACAAGGGAAGGGAAAAGAAAGAGTGGTTTGAAAAATGAGATTGCAAATGAGTGTTTCCTGAAGAAGATAATTAGGAGGTCCAATTAGGTGTGCTTCACTATGGATAGTACGTTTCTGCCTCTTTCCATTGCACCTTGGACCTAGTGGGTGTGGACAGCTCCTGGGGTCCTACCTGTTACCTCACTGTTAAAACATTGTTCTGTTCCCTCTGTCTCCTGGTACGCTCATCTTCAATAATCGGTGCCAGTTTTTTTCTGCCAGTCAAAAATGCGGAAGCAGATATGAATTTCCTTTGTAATCGACATGAAAACTTGAGTGTTACTACCACTGAAAAATTAGTCTAGGCATCTAGCTGCAAATATTGGTAAGAGGTATTTGTAATTATAGGCTGCGTCCTTGGAAACTCGATTATACTGGTAAATTACAGATAACGGCAGGAACACCAGCATTCCTTGTATTACAAGTTGATGGATTAGTATGGAGTTGCCAGGACCTGATATTAACAATTGCCATATATTTAGGAGCCTTTTTTTTTTTTTAAACATAAAATAAAGCTGATGAGCATTATGTCCTGGAAAAACATTTTATTTTGATGCAAGAAAATTGGGATGTGAGAGCCCATTTGGCCAAAGATAACGTGAAAACCGCAGTGGGGGAAGTTCATTGTCAGAAGCATGTGGGTATATGATAACCATTCGTTGGCGTGGTATGATCTAAAAGAGTACACAGCTCGTATAAATGCACTCATATATTGACAGGTGATGATTATTTGGTGGTTGGTCAAGTGAGAGATATAACAAAATGTGGACATTACGGCCAGTGATGATTCTTGGCCTGACTTTCTGTTTGGTAAATGTGTTGTAATGGTCTTGGAGAAGCTGTCTTGTTCCCCTGATGGGAATAAAACCCATGTAGTGATTTTTTTTCCCCTTCCTCTTGCTCTTTTGCAGATGAGAAGCCCAAGGTGAACCCCAAACTTTACATGTGTGTGTGTGAAGGCCTCTCCTGTGGGAGCGAGGACCATTGTGAAGGCCAGCAGTGCTTTTCCTCACTGAGCATAAATGACGGCTTCCATGTCTACCAGAAAGGCTGCTTCCAGGTCTATGAGCAGGGGAAGATGACCTGTAAGACCCCACCATCACCTGGCCAAGCTGTGGAGTGCTGCCAAGGGGACTGGTGTAACAGGAACATCACGGCCCAGCTGCCCACTAAAGGTTCCCATGGACTTTTCTATTTCTAGATCAAGGGTTTCTGTTGGTGGTGTTCTGATTCTGTGTGGGTTAAAGATGGAAATAGCCACGAGGCTTTCCTCCTACTCTTTGAACTAGAGGCCATGAGTGACAAGAAAGGTAGCTCTAGGTGAGGAAGGGAAAGGCATGGCCTTTTGGAGTCTAAAGGGAGGATAGATATCTTTGCGTAAGTGAGCAAGGTAATGGCTATCTTGGGGATGGCTTGGCTGGCTAGATCTCTCTTGGTAGTCATGTGCAGGTGAACAGCTCCTCTTTCTCTTCAGGAGCCATGATTTCATAATTTCTGAAACAGTTGTGCTTGGTGAATATTCATCTCGATGTTGAGTGTGTAGGAAGGAAAACGAAACATAAGCCTCTGGTGGCTGAGTGGAATAGGTTTCCTTCTTTATGAGGAAGGAGACAAAGCCTCACTAACCTTTGCTCCCACATCTGATTTCCCAGTGAACCATCACAGAATCTTGAAGCTGGGTCCAAGTTCACATGAACCTTGTAGTTTGTGTGGAATCTTCTCTGTGTCGTATGTGTATGGATTCCAAATCCAGTGGAAATCAGTCTTCCTCTGAAACTGTTACCCCATAAAATGAGCCCTAATTTGCTATCTCAGAGTCCCTACAAACATTTATGTTCCTTAGTCTTTGTCGGCTCATTCCAAGCCAGTTGATTCTCTTAACCTATAGGACATTTTTAATTGGCGTAATTACTTAATTTTGCACTCACCAAGGAAGAAACAAACCAAAAAAGTGGAGTGGGAGAGGCTACTAGGATCGCCCACTGCCAGAAATGTCAGCTAGCAGGGGAAGAGAGAGAAAAAGGAAAAAAAGAAAAAGGAAAAAAAACGGATACAGGATTCTGCTGTGCAGTATTTCAGTTATGGTGATGACCTGAAGGCATATAGGAAGTGTTAATTCTGATACGCAAATGGGGTTGAATAATAAAAGAAGATTTTTAAAAGAGAGATTAAGTATTTAAATAGCTAAAACTAAAAGGGTACCTGATGGAGTAAACTTTACTCTTAACCTTTTTGAATTAAATTGTAATTAATGGAGTGGATGGCCGTGAAGAAGTATCTGCACTCACAGAGAAGTTACACCTACAGTACGGAAAGTTCCTAATCTGCAGAACACTTCGCAAGACTCCAAGTTGTAATAGAAAATTTATTTTCTTTACTTAAGGAATTTCTAATTCAATTAGGGAGGCACCATATTTATAATTTAATGTTGTATATAATTAGTTTTACACTTTATCGTACAAATGACATGTACTATCGGGTATTATGTGCCAAGTCGTTGATTAATTTGGATTTGGAAAGTTAAAAGACATGTATAAAGGCTGTCAGGCTTGCGGAAGGATTGTGGATTGTGGAAGGAGGCAGAGACGTGGAAGAGGCCTATGTGAGGAAGAACAGGGCTTTTGGTGACACCATGTCCTAAGGGGTCTGTCATTCAGAGATGATTATTGGTTGGGGACCTTTTAATTATGGACCATCGCTATCCAACCAAGAAATTTTTTTATTTAACTCACTAGGCAAGTAGAAAGTCTTTGTGTGTTATTTGCCCAAGTGGTAATGCACGGATGTTTGAATGGGTAATGTGATAATGCCAAGCGAGGGGGTGAATGAGTGATTAGGCGAGTGAGTGAATCAGTGAATGAATGTTTTGAGTGAGTGGATATTGAATAAGTGAGTAAAAGAACAGATGAATGAATCGGTTCCTAGGCAGAAATCGTGATGTGGAAAGATCAATGAGAATTCAGTGGTAGACATCCAAGATACACTGAGGAGAGAGACCACAGATTGGGTAATTTGTTTTTAACTCAGATAGCACTTTCTCATAGGAATATTTCATCATAATCTCTGTCTGTGAGGGCTAAGGATAAAACATTTGTACAGATCAAATCTGCCTTAATAAGAGTAGTACCAGAGTACTACTTCATATCATAAATGTACTTCCACATATGTGCATCAATATGGTTGGTTCTCGGTGGATTTTTTCAAACTCCAGTTGTACCTAAATGAATAATGGTTCAGACGACCAGGCCGTTGTTCAGGTGTTAGGAAGTATTGAAGTATTTTAGTTTATAACAGTTGTGACTTGGGAGACCAGGTGGTCAGGCTCAGGAGCTACTCGTTAGGTATCGGTTGTGCTAAATAATAAGTAAACCGTGAGCCTTACAGCCAATTGCATTCCTTTTCTCCCCCATCTCCAGGGAAATCCTTTCCTGGAGCACAGAATTTCCACTTGGAGGTCGGCCTCATTATTCTGTCCGTAGTATTTGCAGTATGCCTTCTAGCTTGCCTACTGGGAGTGGCTCTCCGAAAATTTAAAAGGCGCAACCAAGAACGCCTCAATCCCAGAGATGTGGAGTACGGCACCATCGAAGGGCTCATCACCACCAATGTTGGAGACAGCACTTTAGCAGTGAGTTTGAGACCCCAGGGAAGCCCAAGCATACCAAAGATGGCTAAACATGCATTCTTAATTTCACCGCGAGATGCTGACCAGTAGCTGGGGACTGGACAGTGCGCAAACGTACCACTGGTCACTTGAGTCCTAGGCAAGCCTGTGTTGGCACCTGTTTGGTCTCCCCTATGTGAGAACATTTATTTTAGACAGACATTTATTTTCAGCGAGGGAGGGGATTTATTTTAGTGGATTCTTGGTAGGTATTTTTCTTTTGGGAATAAGGGAAAAGGTGCAGGGAACGGTTGCCTATAATTTTGGGCGGGGGGCTTTGGAGTAACTCAGTTACTCTATCTTTAGCAATAAAAGTGCTTTCAAAAAAAGCACCTTTGCTTAATATTAAAATCAGTTTCCCTTCTAGATTATTTTAACACCCTGTAATTTAAGACTTTAAACTTGACATCCAAAAAAAGCAGCTATTAAACTTTTCACGCTCCTGTGCTGCCCCCTTGTGGAGCGTAGTCTTTTGGTTAAATCAGTGCTATCCAATAGGAATAGGTGTGCCACATCTGTAATTTTAAATTTTCTAGTGGCCACTTAAAAAAAAGTTTAAAACCCCCCCACCATAGGTGATATTAATTTTAACAACATATTTGACCTAACGTATATCGTTACTACCATTTCAACATATAATCATTAATCAGAAAGAATTATAAACGTGCTATTTTACATTCTTTCTTTTTTTTTGAACTACGTTTTAAAAATACGGTGCATATGTTACACTCACAGCATATATCAGTTCAGACTAACCACATTTCACTTGCTAAAAGTTAATATGTGGCTAGTAGCTACCCTCATGGATGGCTCAGGGTCAGACACCATTGTGTTTATATGTTTTAAAGTTATTCTTTGCATATTTTTCAATGATGAAATCACATGAAAAAGTGTCTTTCTTTTTTTACTTTTAAAAATTGTCAAGTGTCAATTTGAAAGGAACTTTAAACTTTAAGTGAGAAAAGGGAACCACTTGCTATAAATAGGTTACCATAAAATGCAAAAGAGAACTGATAACATTCTGAAGCGATCCTATGCTGAGTCTGATGCCTCTTCTGAAAAAGGTGAAGATTTGTGAGTGTTAGGTATTAAAGACAGGCTGATACCCAGTCGAGACTCTCCTTGTCATATTTGATGGAAGGCCATCAAGGTAGTAACTTTCTAATGTGATCCAGTGTTATTTAATGTCATGGCCATGCGTCAGCTAAGATCATCTCGTATTAAGTCTTGTTCTGCTAGACGACAAGCTTACGAGTGTATGGTAGGTCTGCAGGTAAGCTTGCTCTCCAGCTTCCTCTCTGCTGGAGAAGACCCACCCTCACCAGTCTCTGTAACTCAGGTATTATTCTTGGACCAACCTTGGCGAGTTGTTAAAACGTCTGGTGGTGGCTGATACAGGCTGAGAAATATCCCATCCTCCCGCCTTCCCCATCCTTGGGCCACCAGTCAAGTGTACATTTGTGTATGTGAAGCGGGAAGGAACCTCGTTTTCTTTCTTTTACCTACCTGTTTAGATTGTGGTATGGCGGAACTGGAGAAGAGAGGAGATGAGGATGTTCTGTTTCCCAAAGTAGAGAAATACAGTTTTTCATTAGAAATGTACTTAGAAGTTTGTTTCCCATATTAAGGAAAATTCAGTGAGTTTATTGAGTTAGTAGCAAGATATGAAGCTGAATCCTGGCAAAGCTTTAGCAAAGCAAGATTCTAAAGGAGATTAGTCGAATTCCATTCCCCAGAACTGCTAACCACCATGGCTGATGATAGGGATATCTGGTGTAAATCACTGTTTAAGTAGCTTCTCCAAGTTTGGAAGAGGAATGGGAGTGGAAGCTAAAATAGTGTTCTCAACTCAACTATGTTAGGGGACAGTATATCGCGATGACAACACAGCAAAGAACACTGTTTAAAACAAGCTGTCGTTATTGGCCTATATACTTTCTTATTTAAGTGATAAGCTCATTTATGTAATTCAACAAAGCCTATCTCACTGAACAGCCTCCTATATTGAAAAAGAAGCCTTGGGGTCCAGAAGTTGAAGTAGATGTTTGTTAGTCTTCGGCTGAAGCCACCCCCTGCCTTAAGTCTATGAACTAGATTTAAAATCACGATTATACATTATGAAAAAAAACATTTGTTTAATTTTCAGAATTATTCTCTCAAAAAAAGTGAATGAATAACGAGAAAAAAGAACAGCAAAAGAGATGGTTAGGGAGATGTGAAACTACTTCATCTACATTCAATTTCTTGTTGATTATCCATTTTGTGGTTTTTAAGGATTCTAAATATCTTCCTTTGGATGTTCAGATTTTGGTAATTTTGCTGATCAACAGTACTTCACAGTGGTGCTCAGAGTAAGTAAAAAAAAGATGAAATTCACACAAATCAATGTATTGCTTTAACAGGCCAGCTAAAATGTTTGGGAAAGAATGAGCTTTGGGGAATGTTAGCTCAACGCTACCGCAACCTTACAACCATCACCATGGGCACAATACCGTGTATTCCAAATAATCCATTCCTGTTACAAAGAGACATCTACTCCTTGGCTTGCACTGAGAATCAAAAGGAAGAACTTAGCGAATGAACTAATTGGGAATTTTTTTCACAATATGTTCATTTTTAGAAGTAGGTTTGGGGCATGGTTTTATGTTGTTGTTGTTTTTTGTTTTTTTCCCCCCTCTCTGATTTGTAGATAATTCACACCTAGAAATGACACTGAGGGTTAGGTTTTGTGATGCTTTTGTTCCTCACCTACCTAAAGGGTGACCCGTCCAGGTGGCCCCTCTGCTTGAGTGTACCAGCTAGATGACCCACGTGGCCACTGGAGCCTTTGCAATAGAAACAACATTAGAGTTGTTTGTTCCTTATTCCTGATTTGTTTGTTCCTTGTTAGAGTTCCTTAGTTGGCATGTCAACTAAAGTGAATCTTTTCATAGATACTTATGAGAAGAGCAGAACATGGTTAGTTATGCCCAGGCCTTGGACTTGAAGGCCCTTCCCCTCTTTCTGCTCTGTTTGCTCCTCTTTCTACTGTTTCCCCTTACGCTCAGCCCTGCTTCTTGGACTTTCTGACTTGCATCTTTGACCTTGTCCACCCAGCTTTTTTTTTTTTTTTTAATATTTTTTTTTTATTCTAAAACTCTGGATGCAAGAAAAGACTACTTATCCCTCAGGAAAACCTATCATAAAAAGGGCCAGCTTCTGGTTTTCCTAAGAAAACCCATTCTTTCTCCAGTGGTCCACGCACACTAACGGGCCCCATATCCAGGATTGGCTTCTCCGTGCGAGTTACAGTGATATGCATGCTTGTACTCTAAACTGGGAACTGTTTCTCAGTAGTTTCTTTTTCTCCTTGTCTTGAACCACAGGATTTATTGGATCATTCATGTACGTCAGGAAGCGGCTCTGGTCTCCCTTTTCTGGTACAAAGAACAGTGGCTCGTCAGATCACACTGTTGGAGTGTGTCGGTAATCTTTTTTCTCTTCTTTGTGGGTTGTATGCAATGTTAACAGTGGCTGTAGAAGCAGGATGGAACTTGTGTTACCTGTTGCTCGTGAAATGACAGGAGACGGTGTGGCTCCGTATCTGGTCTCCGTGACTTGCGTCGGAGCACCTCCTATTGTTGGAATTCTTGTCCAAGGAATGTGTGGCTAGTTGCAAGTAGACCCTTTGGGATGACAGGAAGGCCTGAGAAATGAATTAGCATTGCTGCTTCTGACTGCTGCAGGCATTGAGCGATCTGAGGGGAGTAGGCGTTTGGACAATACACTTGCCTATGGCAATTCTCCAAGCCCTCTCACTCTCCCACTGCCTTTAAAAATACTGAGATAAATTTACCAAAGCTACCTTTATAATTGCTTTGTTTAAACAAGAGCAATATCCATTTCTCTATGGCCTCTCATATTTTCCCTATCTAGGAACATGTTTATATATAGATGCATTCATAATGTGTATACAGTTTATGTCCCTTCTTTCAGTTTTAAGCTCATAGACATTTCCATATATCTGTACACATCACAAATATTTTAAAAGATTGTGTAACAATGGTCTTCTGAATGATCACTGAATCGTAACAGTACTACTTGAGAAAGCTTTTGCATGCATTGCACCTTTCGAGTACTCAAAATAAATTCCCAGGAGTTGGGGTTCCTGGGTCAAAATTTGTGACCTTTTTATGGCTTGTTTATAAATTGCTGGTTGCCCTCTGGGAAGATGGTACAAATGCCTTTTTTGGAGGGCAAGTCCTGAGTTTTATTAGTTTCACTTGTATTTGGCAGGTATTTGCAAGTCACGTGGTAGTTGTCATTAATTTCTTTTTGGGCAGCATGTAGGGATGCCCAGGGGGTGGTGATGGTTGGCCGTGTCTCCACACTCTCTTCCTAGTTCTCCTGGTTTCTTTTCACGGCAGCTCCGGTCGTCCCATCCTTGGCTTTTGGGAGGTAGCTGGACGTCGTAAGCTGCCTTTACCGCTGGTGGAAGAGAAGCATGATGTGTGGCTCAGACACAGTCCCAGTGGTCGCAGACCCAGAGCAAAGGCAAGAGGCTCCCGCTGGTCACTTGTGTGCCTGCAGGTGACACTTGAGCTCAAACTACGCTTCTCTTCCACCGTGGACTGTGAGCAGAGAAAACACAAATGGAAACACCCCAAATGTGCCCACTGTGTGCAACCGGGGTTGTCCTCGTGTACTGCCTGACATCCAGTTTGCTTAGGAACAGGGGTATTGGGGTAGGAGTGAGAAGGCAGTGACAGGGGCTGCTTGCCTGTCTTGCTTACTCCTGCCCTCCTGTCCCGTGGCCACTCACCATTCAAAGAGCCGCCGATGTCCGTATCAGTTTGCAGAGCCCAACCCCAGAGTCCAAAGGGCAAAACAGTATTGTACCTTTACAAACACATACTGTTTCTGGTAGTGTAGATATGCTTGAGCATTTTTGGAAATCGTGTAAATTCAATTATAGCATTTTGTTGGTTCAGTGCTAAAGACTTTCATAAAAGCAATGCCATTTCAGTAGCTTATAGTTAGTGTTCATGTGGTACAGCCTTGAATAAAAATGTATGTGATGAACTGCTTGGATAGTATGTTACCATTTTGGGTTCAAAGTTGGACATGATCAGTTGTTACCAGATAGTGATTCGTGAACCCCCCAAATTTCAGATACTTTATGGATTCCCATGGGGGCTCCGTGCCCTGTATGTTTGGGCAGTTCTGCTTCTGTTTTTAGGAACTTCTGAATAAGGTTGCATTTCTAAAAAGCATTTGACAACTTAAAAGCATTTGAAAACCATTGAAGTAGGTTTCTATTTTAAATCTGTCTACTTACTTATCCTGACATCCATCTCTGTTTCCTTAAAAAAAAAAAAAAAAAGATTTAAGGCAACTTTATTGTAATGTATACAATTCTCCAGGATATTTTTTTCTCTCCTTCCTAATGAGACTGTATGAGGACAAAGGGCAAATAAAGATACAAAATGTAACCAAAGGCAGGAAAAGCTCAGCATACTGTTTCCCAGCAGCCTGTTTGTAGTGTCTTAGCACTGGCCTTCATCTTGAACTCCAAATGCTGGGCAATTGCTATGACTGTATTAAAATTAGTCCTGCTCTAAATACTATTTTTGCGACCTGACAGCAGCCTACAATGATGACTTAGTGGCCACATTTAACATCCTTTTGGATTAGTCATTGGTATTTCATAGGGACATTGTTTGTCAGGAGGGAGTCTAGATTGAGTGGTTTTGATTTTGTGTCAGGACCTAATCCCCTGGATAGGGGATTTCTTTCTCCATGTTTGGGTTCTCGTGGCTTAGTCTGTGAGCAAAGAGCGGTATTCACGGGTGTGCAGGTGGTGCTGCAGCTGCTGATTACGAGCCGTGACTCCCAGCAGCCCCTTGCCTGGGAGAACGCCCTGCTGCCCTGCGAGGTGTATCTCCCGCTGCATCGTTATCTAGGCGCCGCGTGCGTCTTCACCCTGATTATACCCCGTGTTGATCCCCGTAGTCTTGTGGTAATTACCTGCTCCTCCCAGCCTCCCTGATCCCCCCTACCTGTAGTGAAGGAGAAGAACGGAGGAGGGAGCATGTCACTGACAGGCTGACAGTGGTGTTGCTGCTGCAGGAGGGGACATGCACCCCACAGAGCTGATCACAAACTAGAGTCGCCGAGATCTGGGAAATGCTTTCTCCAAGGGGCCCTTTCAGTGTGGCCCACTTCTGGCATCCCAGGGGCTGTCTGACAAGCAAATACCCATGACCAGTGTCAGGAATCAGAACTGTTCTGGGATTATGTGTTTTAAGACTCTGCAAATCCTCTTTTGAAATAGATCCGCTGCCAAGAAATCCTTTAGGGAAGGTAGTGGCTGCTTGTCGGTCTCCTCCACAGCATTGTTTTGTGTGTGTGTGTGTGTGGTGTGTGTATTTTTTTGGATCCTTCAGAACACAGATCTCAAACTTAATCGTCTCCCTTATGAAAAACATAAATGCATATGTAAGTTCACAAATTTGGACTCCCATGAAAATGTCCGCGTTGACCTCGTATGAGGGGAAGGAAATCCAGTCAGCTATTCAGTTTAGCCACATGTGCTTTTTTTTTTTTTTTGGCTTTTAGCACATTGGAATCGAATACTCTGTACCATTTTGTTAGTTTTAATAACTTCCGTGTGCTTTTAAAAACCATATATGTTTCATACCTTTTGATAGAGGAATTTAACTGTAAACCTTGTAATTAGCAGCTAATTGTACAATGTTGATACTGAGGGTGTTGGATTTGCTATGGCAGTGGGTGGCTGGAGGGGCAGGTTCCATCTTACTTTTGTATGGCTTCACAGGCGAAAGGTTGTGGTATTTAGATCCCCAGATTAAGTTTTTTCAGGTACACAAAGGGAGGGGGTAAGAGTTGCAGGCAAGAAATGTATTGGCTCCCTCCCATGTCACCTCTGTGTTGCTCTCCCCAGGGAAAGGCAGGTATGGTGAGGTGTGGAGGGGCAGTTGGCAAGGGGAGAACGTCGCTGTGAAGATCTTCTCCTCCCGGGATGAGAAGTCATGGTTCAGGGAAACAGAATTGTACAACACTGTGATGCTGAGGCATGAAAATATTTTGGGTAAGTACAAAGATAATCACCTCATTAATTTTATCTAGAAAGAAATAATTGCCTACCTTTGCCCTCTCCGATTTGGTGTATGTGAATTTGCAAGTCTCCCCTGAAAAGTGATAATAGGAATCATCGGCATTTATGTCATGTTTAATTTTCTTTTAACACTAATTTCTTGTTGAAATCTGCAAAGAAGCTGAGTTTGAAGATTCTCTGGATGATGAAAATGAAATCATTATTGCTAATTCTTATTCTGTAGGTTGTTATTTAAGCAACAAGAATTTACCCCATATTGTTCACTTCAAGGCTTCATCCGTTGTTCTACTTACCGCACCCTTTTTGAATATTTATTGAATCAAACTAAGAAAGCTCTTTGGACGATTTCCTAGAGATTCACAGCTCCCAGGGACATCGTAATTAAATGCACGTTCCCTCAAACTAGGCATGGTTTTTAAAGCCCAGATTTACAGAGGGATTTAGCATCCATTTTAATTTGGGAACTAAAGCTTAGAACCATTTGTGAAATCTGTGAAGAGTCCATTGAAATACTGCTGTGGAGGTATAAGGGATGAGAATGTCCTTGTTCCCTTTGACTTGTGTGGTTTTGGAAAGTTTCTCTCTATGTGTTTATACTAATACATGTATGATGAATGCTGCCCAGAGTGCCTCTTAAATAGTGGATATAAAGTTTATAGAGAAATTGACTCTACAGGATAGTGTTGGCCACTTCATGGCTATTGGAGGAGATTTGGCTCATCAGAAGGTCATTGCCAGAATTTATTTCTATTCTGTTACTGCCAATTTAGTATTACACCTGAGTTAGGTTGTCTGCCAAGAACAGTTCGACAGTTGTCTAAAGCACGGCGGTGTGTTCCATCTTAGAGTTGTGTGTTTCTGCGGTTGTCTTCTCCCCTTGCCTTACCTGTGGGGCCCTTGCTGTCACCCAGTCCTCCTTGCTCATATCGTTGCTGGTGGTCTCCCATCTCCAGTCCATCTTGCCACCCTGAGTTATCTTTCATTGGGTAGCTGAGATCCTCCTCCAAGTGTTTCTGACGACTCCTCCACTGCCTAACATTTGTGCCTTCTGGGCCTGGCATTCCAGACTCCTTATTTGTTGGGGTCCCAAGGAGTCTCAGATTTTCTCTACGAATATCCCCAGATGGCAGCCACTTTGGATATTTGCCACTTTTTGGGATCGCCATGAACATTCAAGTGTCTGTGCCGTTGTTTGTGGTCTTGATCACGCATGATCCCCACCCCACACTCCAACCACCCCTCCTTCTATCACAGTGTCTCAGTTCCCTTCCAGTTTCTCCCAGTGGATTTATGCACCCCCTCACTTTGCAGCTGTGCTGTAACTGATCGCACACAAGCTTGTGGCACAGTTAGATGCGTATGTGTAACAGCGACGATCGTTACTGTGCAGGAATCACTGCTTGAAGTACGTCATGTGCATTTTCTCCTTTCAGCTTCCCCACAGTCATAAGGGGGTAGGTACTCTTGTTTTTCTAGTTTTAACTGATGAGGTGACCAAGGTGGGAGGTTAGCATCACTCATCAGGTCAAATCGTGGAGCTGAGAGTCACACTGGGCAGTGTGTCTCTTAACCACAGTTCTGTACTTTATGTGGTAGTTAACTAGTGGAATTGTGATTCGATAATGAGAGTATGAGGTGAAGATTCATCCACAGTCAAAATTACCTTCAAATGTCCCACTTTTCCCTCTGATACTGGGACAGACAGGTTGAGCCACAGATAAAGAGTCAGTTGCGTTAGAAGCTGGGATGTGCAGGAAGTACATTTTTTTAACAGTGGAATGACTCTTAATGGGCGGGTGCACATACTCTAAGAAGTATGTGGGATCTGAGATTCATTAAAGGAAGGGCATGTTCAGGCACCCCTTCTCGTTCCCATGGGCTCACAGGTTCATTGAGCAAAATGCCCTAGATATTGCTGGGCTATGCAAATAGTCACTTTATCAGTGCCCTTGAGTTAAATGAACTGTGATACCATTCCACTATACACTGAGGACAAGGATCACTTCCATTGTTTTTGCCTTCACATGCAGTACTCAGGACAGTACTTGCACATGCTATGTGCTCGGTAAATACTTATTAAATTGGATTTAATCATAAGAGAAATTTGAAAGTCACCTTCGCAATATGATTCATGTGAGAGGTGAGGTTCCCTTAGTGTGACCACATAGGGCAAAACATTGTTCATTTCTTATTACCTGATGAGCCAGGGAAATTCTCTACTGATGAGGTCTTTCTGCGTAGCCTCATCATACTTAAAGCTGTATGGACTGATTTTACTGTGTAGTTCTTTTGGCTTGAAGAAAGCTCATAGAAATGAACTGGTTTGTTTTTGTTTCTGTTTTTTTGAGGGCGGGGTCTCAACTTGGTTGAAGTTCTTTCCTTGCTTTACCAGTTTTCTGGATATAGAGGCTTTAAGGTTTTCTGTGATCTTTTCCTTTTCTGTCAAAGGAGCATCTTGTATCAAATTTTGGATCATGATTTCCCTCCCCCCCTGGAGTATTGCTAACTCTAGCCCCTCAAAATAGATACATCACACACACACATTTACACATATATGCATACATATAAAACTCTGGGCCCTCATTGTTTATCCCCCTATAACAGTATCTTTCAAATGACTAGATTTGGCTTTCAACTCTTCCTTCTGCTCTGTCTGGTATAGAAGTCCACAGACAAGGGGGTAGCGGGAGGGTGTGCTGGGTGATGGCAGGAACAGTGGTCGGGGGGCTGGAGATGCTGGTTTCTACTCTCAGCACCTCCAACAGGCCCACTGTGTGACTTTGGGCCAAGGTTATATGTTTCTTGGCATCCTTTCCCTCATTACTAAGACCAAGAGAGTTGAATTAATGTGAGAATTTTACTCCAAAGTCTCGTCTCACATGCTTTTTAAAAAAATGATAGTAAAATATGAAGCTTACCGTTATAGTCCTATTAAGGGGAGAGTTCGGTAACATGGGTACATTCACATTGTGCAGCTGTTAACCGCCCGCCGTCTCTAGAACCGCTCCGCACTCTGAAGAGGCACCGCCTCACCAGTTAATCAGACTTTCCTTAGAGCAAGTGGAAGTAAAGGAAAGTTACCCACAGAAGATACTACGTTGCAGAATTGCTGCGGCTTTAATTGAACCCTGAGCTATTCTGAAATGTAATAGTAACCAGCTATTCTTGATACTTCCTGTGTTAGGTATCCTATGAAACGCTGCACCTATAATTAACTCTTCTATTCTCACAGTACCCCTGTGAGGTTGCTGATGTCGTTGTCCTTATCTTATGAATGAGGAAACCGAGGTGGAGATTTTAAATGACTTGTGTGAGTCACGCAGCTTGGGAATGGTGGAGCCAGTCTTGGGGCCCAGCGCTCTGCAGCCCCCGTGCCCCACTGTGTGGTGGCCTCAGTCCTCAGCTGTCATAGCTGCCCGGTGCCTGGCTCCTGGGAGAGTCGCCAGGGCGAGGCTCACAAGGGCCATGGATGACCTCACTTAAGATTTTGGGTTTTATTTTCCTTCCTGGGGAGCCTGGGAGGATGACTTGGGCTGTTAAATAAGAGGCTTTTGCTCTAATCACTTTCTCTCCCCGTTATGAACACGTCCAGTGGCTGCGTCCAGTGTTCCAACTTATAAGGACCTGTTCAGCCTTCACTAACAGTAGAGTGCTCTGACGGAAAATGCAAAAATTCCATAAAAATGCTCTTGCATTTTGAAACAAATGTAGTTCAGTGATTCACCCTTGGGAGATAAACAGTTAAAAAAAAAAAAAAAAAAGTCCTGCCTATTAAAAAGTCATTTTTCCAGAAGGTCTGGAGCATAATTAACGGGACAGACAAAAATCCTTCTCTAAGACCTAAGGGACTTAGGGCAGGTGAGAGAATAAGTATTTATTTGTTATTTATGTATGTATGTATGTAATCAGAGGCTGCTCTCCCTTGGGCAGAAAAATCAGTAGAGGCTACGTAAATACACAACAGTAATTTGATTTCTTTTGAGGGGTACTTACAGTTTAGGATTTTTATTTTTGAAAGTCATTAACGATTAATATCATTTGGTTTAGAATGATAAAGTAGAAACATTTTCTTTTCTTTTCTTTTTTTTTTTATAAAGATTTTATTTATTTATTCATGAGAGACAGAGAGAGAGAGAGAGACAGAGGCAGAGGGAGAAGCAGGCTCCCTGCGGAGCAGGGAGCCCGATGCGGGACTCGATCCCAGGACCCTGGGATCATGACCTGAGCCGAAGGCAGACGCCCAACCGACCGAGCCACCCAGGCGTCCCTAGAAACATTTTCTTTAGTGAGAATAACTAATGTCTGAGTACACATTTTGACTATTCGTATTACGGCCGGTGTAGGGCTCTAAGAGAAATCGCTGTGGGGCCACAGACACAGACGGGACGGAGGGAAAGAATGAGAGTCTGAGGCTGCCCGTGGGAACTGGCTCGGAGGGCAGGGGAGAGAGAGGTAGGGGATCAAGTGTGGAGACGTTACTTTGTTCACGTCACAGATGCGCATGGGTACACGTGTCACGTTGTCTCTCTCTGAGTAGAAGTCCGCCTGTTTGGGGGCAGTATGGCGTAGTGGGTAAGAGTACAAGTTCTAGAGCCAGGCTGTCGGAGAGCATTACTAGCCTTAATGTCAGTGCTCCCCTCTGCCTCTTTCCTGTATGAGTATTGGAGGATTACGTGCAGAGTGTGTAGAAGTATTGAGCCTGGCTCCTTGTTCGTCCCAGTAGCTACTTAGCTGCTTCTGTTCTTGATGATGGTGACGGTCAAATAGGGGACCTTTCTTTGTTCCCAGAGTTTCTTGTACAAGCTGTGGTGTGCCCAGATGGCTAGCACCAAACTTGGGGTCCGCGACAACTTAATAGATGCGTAATTTGGCATCTCCTAGCAGCAGTTTCATTATTTATAAACTGAGTATAATGATATCTGTGTTCCTGGTGTATTGAGAAAAATCCAATGAGAAAATATATATGAAAGCAGCATAAACTTTATATCACGCTCTGTGTAAGTGTGAGGCATGTTCTGCGTGTGTCCATTTTCCCGCATCCTTTTACAAGTCCTTTAATCCTGCCTCAAGCCACATCTGTCTTTTTTTTAATATTCTTCTTAAAATTCTTTTATTTATAAGTCCCAGATGTCAGTGCTTGTAAGTGTGTCCATTAGGGGTGTGTGTGTGTGTGTGTGTATAGTTTACATATATGGAGAGAGAATGCGCTAGTGAGTGGGTGGAAAGCATGTCTGTAGCAGGAAAGGCAAGACATACATCACAATTTATTTCATAGAGTTTATTCAGTTTGCTCAAGGGTCCCCTCACAATGTCTAGAAAATTCTCTTCCTACCTCCTTATTGGCATGTCAAATCTCACTTCTTTTCAAGACCGCTTCAGTTATCACTTCTCGATGGAAGCCTGTTGTAACATCTCGTCTGAATTACTAGGATTCCCTATTCTGGACTCATGTTGCCCTTTGCAGATCTAACAGTACTTTTCATTATATTCCTTACATGATATTGTAATTTTTCTTTCCTATATCTGTCTTCTTTTCTAGCCAACAAACACTATCATCTTGGTTTTCCTATGTGACTGACAAAGAGCATCATAGATGCTTATTATATTTGCTTTCTTTTTTATTTGATGAGTAGTCAATCATTTAATATAAACTTACCCCTTTATCTTACATCTGAACAGAGATAATCCAGAGAACCTAAATGAGTTGCCCAGTATTATACAGCAAATCACAGGCAGAGTCAATACTAGAACTAGATTCTATGTTTTAGATTCTAGTTTCTTTTTATGTTTAGATTCTATGTTTAGATTCTGTGTTTTTTATTCTTTTTGGGTGGCTGATGAATAATCTGCGCTTGGAATATGAACATGATAAAGAGTTTAATACTATCATTACGGATAAATGCAAAGATACTATTCCTATCTGAATCGTAACATAATGTAAAATCTTTTTAAAGGATTATTTATAATGAAAATGAATATGGACATTTCCTATTCACTAGAAGTACCTTTTTATGGTAGTATTAAGAGTACTATGTTTTTCTGTTGATGCCTCTGTAAACCTCCTTTCATGGTAGTTGGTTAGTTTAATTATTTTTTGTTACAGGTGGTATCTATTATATGGGTTACTGTTTCTGTATACTAAAAGTTATAATGTGAAATTCTTACATGTCTGCTAATTTTGTTCTTGCTCCCTCCAGGTTTTATTGCTTCAGACATGACATCAAGACACTCCAGTACCCAGTTGTGGTTAATCACACATTATCATGAAATGGGATCGTTGTACGACTATCTTCAGCTCACTACTCTGGATACTGTTAGCTGCCTGCGAATAGTGCTATCCATAGCTAGTGGTCTTGCACATTTGCACATAGAGATATTTGGGACCCAAGGGAAGCCAGCCATTGCTCATCGAGATTTAAAGAGCAAAAACATCCTGGTTAAGAAGAATGGACAGTGTTGCATAGCAGATTTGGGTAAAGTTTTAAAAATATTTTTTAATTACAGTTTTTACTTTTGTTGTATTCCATCGTTTAGCTAGGTCGCATCCATGCCCCCTCCCCTAACATCTTGTTATGAAGACTTTCAAGCATGCAGGCAAATCAAAAGAACGTCCCAGTGAACAGCTGTATACCCACTACCTAGATTCCTCCATCAACATTTTACTGTTGTCACATATCCATGCCTCCCCACTCATCAGTCCATCTTTAATTATTGATACATTCCCAAGTGAACTGCAGACAAAAGAGCCCTTTCTTCTAAAGACTTCAGCATGTATACCACTGTGTCGTGCACCGGAGTCTATTATTTGTTGACTTTTTTCTCTCCGGGTAAACAAATCTTAAGTAATACATTCTCAGAGTTTGGACGAATGCTATAAAATCCAAATCTCTATTGAAATTCAGACCTTTGCGTTACCTTGGAAGGTGACTTCAGGTAAAATGCTCGTTCAGTCAATTCCTGACCAGCCCACCCTCAGAGGCAACCAATAGTCTGTAGCATTCTGATTTCTCAAACCTTTACACAAAGTAGGTATACAGTTAAATAACCTATGGAATGAGGGGCACCTAAGTGGCTCAGTTGGTTAAGTGTCTGACTCTTGGTTTTGGCTCAGGTCATGATCACAGGGTCGTGAGATTGAGCTCTGCGCCAGGCTCCACGTGCAGTGTGGAGTCTGCTTGCGATTCTTTCTCCCTCTCCCTTCCGCTCACTCTCTCTCTCTCTCTCTCTCCCCCAAATAAATAAATAAATAAATCTTAAAAAAAAAAAGAACCAACCTATGGAATGAGTTCATCTTAAAAATGGCTTCTAAAGTTGTTTTTCTGTAACCATGGCAAAATTATCAGTCAAGAAAGAGGAAAAAAATTCCTGAACCAATTCACAATTTGCCCTGCTGGGATATCTCATTCCTATGGTGTTAGGGTAATGCTCAGTGTAGCTTTAATTGCATTATAAATAAGATTATTTTCATTTATAGTGACACTGTATATAAAACCATATTCAACTTGGGTACTGGCTGAATAATTACGCTAATGAGAACTGAATTGTATTCAGTTGTATTGGTTATCCATTTCAGTGGACTACGGAGAGTTCTCACTCTATTTGATTAAAAAATGGTTTATATTATATTCATATCATTGTAGTTATTGTGAGGCTGATAAAGGTTTGGACAGTATTAACTCTTGTATATAAATGATAATTTTTTTTTCTTTTTTAAGATTTTATTTGACAGAGAGCACAAGTAGGCAGAGTGGCAGGCAGAGGGTGGTTTATATTATATTCATATCATTGTAGTTATTGTGAGGCTGATAAAGGTTTGGACAGTATTAACTCTTGTATATAAATGATAATATTCTTTTTTTTCTTTTTTAAGATTTTATTTATTTATTTGACACAGAGAGAGAGAGAGAGAGCACAAGTAGGCAGAGTGGCAGGCAGAAGGAGAGGGAGAAGCAGGCTTCCCGCAGAGCAGGGAGCCCGACGTGGGGCTCGATCCCAGGACCCCAGGATCATGACCCGAGCCGAAGGCAGACGCTTAACCGACTGAGCCACCCAGGCGCCCCTATTCTTATTTTTAAACATAAAGATGTTACATGTCCGGAAAATGTATTTCTTTTGAATTTCTTTAAAGTCTTTGCATTCATGCTGAGAATTATTTTACAGTGTTTTGCAAGTGTGAGAAGAAAAATATTTAGGATAGCATTGAAAGGGTATGGCTCTGAAGTTTTTTGTGGGCAGTTTTAGTTGTGGTGTAGAGGACTTTTATGGCCATGCCCTGGCTTTTGGAGCAGGGTGATTTGGACTTGAATCCTGACTTTCCCAGTTATCACCCCATATATCTATGCAGATATTTTAGTCTATCGATTTACCTGCCCAAAGTGCAGGACTGGCTTATACTCGACTGGGGGGCAAGGAGCACTTTAGTGTTTGACACTGTGCACTGTACCTTCGGTATTGTTTCAAATGTTCATAACGTTGTTTCCAAGTATTATTCATGTCACTCAAAATCAATTATTATGTACCTCACATGGTTCTTTTTTTTTTTTTTTAAGATTTTATTTATTTGCGAGAGAGAGAATGAGAGACAGAGAGCATGAGAGGGAGGAGGGTCAGAGGGAGAAGCAGACTCCCTGCTGAGCAGGGAGCCCGTTGTGGGACTCGATCCCGGGACTCCAGGATCATGACCTGAGCCGAAGGCAGTCGCTTAACCAACTGAGCCACCCAGGCGCCCCTACCTCACATGGTTCTTAATAAAATTCAGAAATTATTATACTTGCTTGGCAAATAATAAGCATTCAGATGGTTGCTGCTATTATAGTCCAGTGGTCTAGGGGAGATGGGAAATGTTGGCTTTGGTTGTGGGACTTGATAGGGAGTCAGAGTTGTTTTTCAGTAAGTCCCAACTAATTAGTTACTCGTTTTTCTTTCTTTTGGCCTGTAGCCTTCCAATTAGATACATGGATTTGTACAAAAATCTGTGTTAAGGTGTTAACCATTCAGGGAGTAGTTCCTTGGTACAGAAGACCGCTCCCATGAGATTATCATTTGTGTGTAATTTTTCACTTTATACCCACAAATTAAGGATCACTCATTAGAAATCATGTTCCATTATTGATACTGCAAAAATACCAGTGTTCTATTTATTTTTCTAACTTTTTATTATAAAAAATTCAAACATACAGAAAGGCTGAAAGAAGAGTAAGTATAATGATCATATGCACAACACCTAGATTCAACAATTGTTAGTTTTGCCATATTTGCTTTATATGTAGCTGTACCTATGTCTTTACTCGTACACTTGAAAATAAGTTACAGACATCACAACACTCTATTCCTAAATACTTCAGTATATATCTCCTGCATAATCAGTTCATCGCATCTAAAGTTACTGATAATTCTTTAATATCATTTAATGTCCATTTTCAGATTTTTTTAGTTTTCTCCAACAAGAATTCAGCCAAGGTTTACACATTGCATTTGGTTGTTTTGTCTCTTTAGGTAGCATGATAATTACCTATTACTGGGTAACACATTGCCTCTAAAACTTAGCAGCTTAAAATAACACAAATTGTTATCTCCCACAGTCATCTGAGAGTCAGCAGTCTTGGGATGACTTAGCTGTCTGGTTCTGGCTCAGGATCTTGTAGGGCTTACACAGTCAAGCTGTCGATGAGGGCTGCAAGTGCCTGAAGGCTTCGTGGGGGCTGGAGGAACTCCCAGGATGGCTCTAGTCATGTGGCTGTTGGCAGGAGGCTTCGGTCCCTGGTCTGGGGGACCTCTCCACGGGGCTGCGTGAGTGAGTGTCCTCAAAACACGAGAGAACTGAGAGCGGAGAGGAAGCCATGTTGCCGTTTATGTCCTAATTTTGAAGATCTTCACTCGCTTCTGCCATGTTCTGTGTGACTGTCCAGGCCACGGTCAAGGCATGGGGAATTGAGCTTCGCCTCCTGAAGGGAGACGTTTCAAAGAACTTGCAGACATATTTTTAAACCACCACTGCTAGCATTGCCGTGATCTATTTAAACTGCACCTTTTCATGTTCTGTTATTTTTAACTCTTTGGTTCTGGAAATGGTAGAGAAGTGTATATGTTTCGGGAGATGTTCACCGTGGCTATAGAATCTTGGGGTTGATTAGAAGAATCAGGGAAAGAGGAACCAGTCTGGTGTAGTGAATGCAGTTGCTGATTTCTCTGCTAATTATTAAGGGTGCGCTACCAGATGCCATCTCCCTGGCATGAGAAAGAGTCATCATCCCACACATTCAAAGCCATGGAGTGGGAGGAGAAGCATTCTCCACAGAAGGCTTGAGGGATCCCCAAGGGATCATTGGGTTGCAGAGGTTTACAGAGGCCTCTTGTTCCAATTTGGCACTTTTCATTATTTTGAGTGTTAAAGGAATCATTGTGAGTTGGTCAGCATATATATCAAAAAGTAATTTCATTCTCAAATGAATCATGCATGTATCTGTTTAACCCTCCTGGTTGGCGAGGAATGCCAGGGCTCTCTAATTGAGGAATTCTGAAATGAGTCATGGTTTAAGAAAGTGCTTGAAAGCCATTTAGCGTGAGAGTTGTGCTTTGAATCGAGGTCTAGCTGAGTGCTGTCTGCATGCATGACGATAGAGAAAGGCCTGTGGGTTTGGTCAGCGTCACTACGTCTCAGATGAGCAGCTCTTCCTAAAGGGATGGAGCAGTGCCTATGGAAGCCCGCCCTTTAGGTAGTGATACATTACCTCAAGTTCTCTGCCTCACACCGTCGGAAATTTGTGCTTGCACACTGCTGGGAGCTGTGGTGGAACATGAGAGCTTTACTTTTAAGGCCCTTGGAGGCTCCCACTTAACCTGTGAGCCTATTTTCCTGTGGACTTGAAAATATTGACCTCTTGGTGGTTTGGTGCATTGGTTTATTATTCATCCAGATCTTTTTGTTTCAGAGGTTCAGGTGTTAACCTCAGAACTTCTGACTCTTTCCGGTCTTCGTTCTTTTTTCTCTTGTCTCACAGAAGTCCTCTCTCCACAGTATTCCAGAGATTAATTACTCTGGGTATAGTGCAGCAGTGACCAGAAATACCACGAGAGGGCGCTTCTGATTGGGGTCAGTTCGAAAATGCTTCAGCAACCCTCTGTGAAAAGGAAGTAAACTGACCCACCCTGTTGTCTTCTTCCTTTCAGGCCTGGCAGTCATGCATTCCCAGAGTACTAATCAGCTGGATGTGGGGAACAACCCCCGTGTGGGCACCAAACGCTACATGGCCCCTGAAGTTCTAGATGAAACCATCCAGGTGGATTGTTTCGATTCTTACAAGAGAGTTGACATTTGGGCCTTTGGACTTGTCTTGTGGGAAGTGGCCAGGCGTATGGTGAGCAATGGTAAGTATTTGATCTAATGTAGCAATGTCCTTCCTGAGTCCTCTTGATTCTACTGTCTTTAAAAGGGCAAAGGAAATATTTAAGTCCACATTGTCCCATGAATCATACTTATTCCTTGAATCATACATCAAGCTATCAGCATCTATATTTGATTTATGGCTAGTAGGTGGAATGCAGTGTCATTATATTTTAGCTACACAAGAGGAAATGAGGGTTGAAAAGAAGAATATTTCGGGCTGAGACATCTGGTCCTGGCACTGCCCCCCTGGTGCTTGAGTATAAGCCCCCAATAAACGCTGCCTAACTCTAAAAAAAATAAAAAAGAAAAGAATATTTCTGGAAGAGACTAGTTATTTTTTGGCTCTTCTTTTGATTGGTCCATATTTCATTCCTTCCTTTCTCCATCTTCCTATTCTGCCTTTCTTCCCACCCTCTCTCCTCCTTTGTTCTTCTCACAAGTGGGATTTAGCATGAGAAGAATGCTCCAGTAAATCTGAGGGTGAATCCTGCTATTTTAGATATTTTTACTTCTGAAATTTGGGTTATTGAGAAAAGGCTCAGGTTGTACACTCAGAATTCACCTCTTTGTAAGAAGTAAGGCTGTACCTTCTGAATTAGTGAAATTCAGATTCAGGAAGCCCTGAGTAGGAGGCTAATGCTCGTCCTCTTTCGAGTAAGTTGTATGAAATGGTCTTGTCTTCGTAGTTACAGGAGCATATGTCGGTCATTTTTAACCTGTGACCCCTACAATAAACTCTTAACTTATTCTTGTCTTTCATGTATCCAGATTAGCCACAAATACATTGTTGAACTTTACTGGAAGTACATTGTATTCTGAAAGCCCTATGTGTGCTCTTTTAAATTGCATATGCCCCATCTCCCCACAAAGTGGATTTTATGGTTGACTCTTGAATCACCTAAATAAACTTCTGTCTTCTCAACTGGAAGTCTTCTTTCAGAGGACATGTCTGAAATTGTTCCAGAAAAACAGGAAAGTGCCGTATATTTAGATTAATATTTATTTTCAAAGGATCCTTTCCCCTCCTAAAACTCCTTGGAATCCTGGATTTGAAGTATGAAAGACATAATGTGTGAATTCTCAAGGATTGAGATTCTTGGGGCAATCATAATTTTCCTGAACAACATAACCAGAAAATAGGAAGTTCTTTGAGGAAAGTGGCATCAGGGTAATTTACCCTAGTTTTCATGTGCAGTAATTCGAATTGGCACGTCTTCATGGTAGCTGCTGCTTTTCCTTTCCTTTTTTTTTTTTTTTCCTCTAACAGCACCGTGCGTCTGGCTTTGAGACCCTTAGCGGGTCTGTGAAAAGCAATGTTTCAGATTAAGCATAAACATAACATGCATTGCTACCTGACCGTTCTTTTAATTTTCTTTTTCTTTTCGTTCTTCTGATGGAGTCATGAACATTTTCTTGGTAATTGTTTCTCAATCGCTGGGAGCTTACCGACTGGCATTTTGTGCCATCAAGTGCCTTGAAAATTATCTGCAACAGAGAGATTGTTTTGCTGATTTATGAAGTTCTGAACTTTGCCTGGAATTGCACATCGACTTCATTTGCTCACCCCCTCCCCAATAATCCTTGAGCATCTTGGATCTGAAAATCTAATTTTAATTTGTTTATTTTAGCAAACAATTTAGAGAAGGATTGGCATCATACTAAACCATGCACTGGGGAACTTGCCCCCAGTGAAGAGAGTACTACTATCTCAGGGCCAGGATGGTAGCCAGCCAGCGGCGGCTGGGCTGGAGCAGCTCCCAGCAGGCCTGCATGATGAAAGCTGAGCTTGGCAGAAATGTGGGATTTGGGCTTTGTAAGAATTCATGTTGCAAACGCGTTCCCTGTGTCACAGGCATAAACCCAAGTGGCTCTTAAAGATCACTTGTGCTTAATAGGCGTCCATTTGAAATTAGAGTCATCGGTTTAAAATTGAGCTCAGCAAATGGTAGTTTGCATCATCTGTTCCGTGTTTAATGTTCTTTTGCTGAAAAAATCATGAAGAGTAGAGGAAGAGAGACTATTTTGGTTGTTTGATTGATTGACTTCCTGTTATGTCATCATTTAGGTGGCTCTCTGGTTCCTAAAATTCTGTGGGTTGAACTTCTCTTCTGTGGTGTGGTTGGATTGTTAGTGGGAGGTAAGGGTATGTTGTGTCTCCTTTTAAATCAGTTACTGTCCCTTGGCAGTGACTAATTTGATATTTTCCCCTTCTCTTTTTAGTCCCCCCTCCTCCCATGACTGTTCACAGGCGCGCGCACGCGCACAGATGGAAATCACTTTATCTGGACTCAAAATAGGTTTGCACGTGGGATTGAACACTTCTAGGTTTATTATTAATATTTTAGTTATTACTACACCAAAACGAAAATGAGTAGAAAGAAAAATAAGAGAAAATTTGCTCTTACGTTCTAACATCGTGTGCCTTTCCACTTCTTCTCTATGCACCCCGTATGTTTTTGACTTTGTTATCATCATAGTATAGATACAGTTCTGTATCATCTTTTTTGTTCGAGTATGTCTTTTTAACATTAGTCTGTTTTTATTTTAAGTGGTCATGTGATATTTTATGAGCCATTTTCATGTTTAAGACATCCCGTCTCCTCCATTTGGGGCCTGTATTAGGTACCTTTGTTCATATAACTTTTTCATTTGGGGAATTAACTCTTAATCTGAAAACAAGTAGACCTAATAGGTCAAAGAGTATGGAGGTTTTTATGGCTTGACACATATTGCCAAATTGCTTTTCATAAGAGTTGTGCTAATTTACAATATCCCGCTCACCCCAGGGTGTGATGTACCTATTTCACTTTCTTACCAGCTTTAGGAACTGTCATTAAAAGGATATATATTTTTGAAATTATTGCATATAAAATGTACCTCATTTAAATGTATGAATATCTTATCTTAGGAAGGTCATTATAATTATGAATCCTTTGAGTTTCTGAGTCCATGATAAAAATTGATGACCAGATAGTTCTCCTGGAGCCGTATGATCCTCAAGTGAACCATGAGTATAAAAATATGTTGCATTTTGTATTTTCATTGGAATGTTACATTTATTTGCTGCTAATAATAAACTTCATGCTGTTTCTGTACAGGAAATGAGAATTAAGTCCATTTGCACATCTGAAAACTTCTCAGTAGTGTCTTTTGGAATTTACTTATTATGTTTAGCTTGACATTGAATTTGGAATTGGTAGGAAGGAAAATGGTTTTCTTACCTTTTCTGGGTGAATTTTGGGTGTCAGCTTAAGGCAGGGGTTTGCCTGGATCGATGGTTCTTAAACTGTGTGTCAGATTCATCTAGAAACAGAATGCTGGGCCCGCTGCCCCAGAGTTTCTGATTTAGGAGGTCTGGACAGAGAACCTCCCTTTCTAACAGGGCCGCAGGTGATCCCCACATGACCGCTGGGTCAGGGACCTTACTCTTGAGATCTCATGTTAAAGTGGGGTCTGTCAGTCTTCCCAGGCTGGAAAGTAGACTGCCGCCAGGGTGTTGACAGTCTGGCCTAGCAGGATGCCTGTGATTTGTTTCTCATGCTTTAGGTGGCACCTACTTTCTCTTGCAAGCTTAAGAGGGGTTTGTTTCTTCTTTAAGAGTCTTTGTCTAGGCCCTGGCCTTTCTTTCTAGATTTTTGCTACTTCTCTGACCGTATTCTTCTTTTCCTCCTTTGATAGTTCTGTGGATATATTTGTGTCTGGCTACCTGAGTTCAGTGTGGTGTGAGGACAGAACCTTACATGGGGATTGCATAGGTAAATAGATATATTATCACTGTGGACTTGTGCCATTTAGCTTTGGTCTGATAGAAGACCTTGAGTCACCCCTTCCAAGCATCCCCCAGTAGTACGTTCCTCCTCGGGAGCCTCAGCTTGCAGTGTCATACCTTGCTTGGATCTCTGCATGCAGGAACTCGATAGGTGTGTTGTTCTAATACTGTGGTCATCTGCTCAAGGATTTAAAAACCAAGTAAGATAATCTTCATCCTCCATCCTCCAGCACATCTTTCACCATAGCATCATCTGAGCAGCATGAGCCTCTGTTCGCCTCCATGCAGCTCACAGTCTACTGTAGATTTCATTGCAATTTCATGTCATATACCTTTGTCATTTATGTGACAGGTACACTTCACGATCATCCATACACTAGAAGTTTTGGAAAGGCAGTGTGTCTGGATTGGACAGACAAGCACATTGAGATGATGGGATAGATCCTGTTCGTTCATTGTGTTTGCTTGCTAAGTACTTTGTTGTGCCATGTTTCTCTCTTTCCTTGCGAGGGCTTTCCTCAGGCCCAGAGCGCTGCACGAGGAAGCCGCTGGGAAGGGTGCCCTCTGTGCAGCTGTGTGTTGCTCCCCTCTGGCCCTGCCGAGGCGGTACCGTGTGAGCCTTAACATTTCAGGCTCTGCAGTCGTTACTGTCTGCCTCCATCACCTACATCAGTTTCATTGCCCAAAAATTATTGCTCGAAATAGTATTTACTTTAACAAGTTCTGATGATGAACTGAGCTAATGTGGGTAAAGCACCTCGTGTGTGTCTGGCCTGTGGTCCATGTTCAGTAACCCAGCCATGGGTATTTGCTGTTCACTGGAAATGAGTGATGGAGGCCATGCGTGTGATTCTCTGGTGGCCTTCCTTCACGTCTCCTTATGCCAATCCTTCACTCAGACATTACATTCACTCCCCTCTTCACTTCCCACTAGAGGACTGCATGGACACACTCGTGTTTCACTGTTACTGGCTTTGTTTATTTTGGGATGGATTCCAGTGTTGAAATGTATCTCAGAAAAATCCTTGCTGGCCAGGCTGCATCCTTTATGGGGTGAGGACTAGGAAATATTTGTTAGAATAGGTTTTCCAAAGCATGTGTGTCAAACATGAACTTATTCTCAGTAATCCCGGGCTTGCCAGGGAACTGCATGTGCTTCTGTTCCTAAGCACAGTGGGCTTGTGTCTGGAAACCATGACAACTTTTATTTTC